ATCATTCCATACCACCATAATGGTGTGCATGAATGTCCTGGCTTGTTCTCTCAAGATCACCAACAATGCCTCAAAGTCATTGTTCAGTTTCTAACCATTTTGATGAAATATGGTTTCACTGGCAAATTTGAAATAACCAATGATAGTGGAACTGGGAAAGTTGTTATGAACCTGGAAGACAGGTTAAACGTGTGGAGTGATCAAGCTCTGATTTGGAGTGCAGCCCAAAGATCTAGAAAAATGGATGAAAAATCTGCCCCCATTTCATCATTTGGTTTCATTGGACTGATGACCTCAGTGGGCATCATGGACCACAAAGATACAGTATGAAAATCCTGGAATTCTTTTTCTATGAATGTGATACATATATTCAAATAAAATGCTTCAATGGACAAAGAGTTGAAATATAATCAGTACAACCTGGCGTGGTGGCACACTCCTGTGATCCCAGTGACTCAGGAGGCTAAGGCAGGAGGATCACAAGTTTGAGGTCAGCCTCAGCCACTTAGGAACACTCTGTCTCAAAATAAAAAATAAAAGGGCTAGGGATGTAGCTCAGTGGTAAAGTTCCCCTGGGTTAAATCTCCAGACCAAAATAATAATAATAATAATAATAATAATAATAATAATAATAATAATAATAATAATTTTTACTGACTTTCTTCAATAAGTCAAGAGCCCAGGTTGAAAAAATGAGAAGGATCTAGCTATTCCAAGAGTGTGGTAAAAACCATTGTAAGCAGAGGGATCAGCATGAAGGTCCTGAGCCAGGCCCTCTGCAAAACATCATGCATGGGCTATTTCTTCACAACTACCCCCACTAAGTAGGTACAATTATTAGTACTAATAATAGAGAATAAGAGAACAAGAACTTGCTCAACACATACATCCTTTACCTTAAGTGGCAGAGCTGGGGTCAGACCCTAGGTCCCCGTTAACACCAAAGCCCATGGCTTGCTCATGGTATTCAGAACCCCTGTCCTCCCCCTAAGAAAACCAGCCATCGGCTGGAGAACAGGAGCAGGGGGTAGGCAAGTCCATGGGGGTGAAGGGATATTCCTGCCCTGCAACCAGAGTCACAGGCACAACAGGATCAGGGCCACCTTGTAGGACCATGCAGCATAGACATGGAACCAAGTCAGAGTTAAGCTCTGATTAGCTTGTCATTGTCAATGAAAGGTTCTGGCACAGCCATTGAAGAATTCCAGGCCTGACTTTCCCTTCTGCTGTCCTTGAGAGAATCATGGAACACAAGGACATAAGAGGGGTGGGAGGCGACAGGGAATAGCAATAATGACAATAATAATACTGAGAGCTGTAATAATGCTTTCTGTGTGTCACAGTATAACAGGCACAGTTCCAAGGTCTTCATGTATACAGTTGTCCCTTGGTACCGATGGTGAGCAGGTCTGATACCAAGGGTATGCAATGGGGATGGATTTGGTATCCACAGATACCAAAGTCCATGGGTGCTCAAGTCCTTTATGTAAAATGGCATTGTATCTGCATATAACCTACACACTAAATCAACTCTAGATCACTTGTAATACCTAATGTAAATGCTATGTCAGTAGTGTTTATATTGTGTTGTTTAGGCAAGAATGACAAGAAAAAGTTTATACATATTTTTTCCCAATTTTTGATCCATGGTTGGATCTGCATGTTCCACATCCACGGAGAGCCAACTGTACTAACTTGTTTCATTTTCAGAATAACTCTGTAATAACATCCCTATTTTACAAGTGAGGAAACTGAGACCCAAAGAGGCTGATTACTCACCCAGATGACACAGCTCATAGACGGCAGAGCTGTGATCTGAACAGGCAGCTGGCTTCTGAGTCCACTCTTGCTTTTTTTTTTTTTTTAGTCTTTTTATTGTAAAACAAGACACAGAAAACAATATGAAGGAAGCAGACAACTTAGTGAACTTAATGAATTATTAGAAGTTATTACAAGATATACACCCTGTGATCAGCCTACTGGTCAAGAAGTAGAACTTTGCCAGATACCCAAGAAGCCCCTGTCTGTGCCCTTCCTCCTAAAAGCAACTGCTATTCTTTTTAAAAAAATTTTTTTTAGTTGTGGATGGACACAATACCTTGATTTTTTTTATTTTTATGTCATGCTGAGGATCAAACCCAGTGCCTCACACATGCTAGGCAAGTGCTTTACCCCTGAGCTACATCCCCAGCCCCTTAAGTCTCTTTTATTCCACAAATTCCCCCTCCATTCCTTTTTGGTTTTTGTAATTGATCTGTTGAAGAACCAGGGCCAACTGACCTGTGGAGTTTTCTGGATTTTACTGATGGCAACATGTTCCTCTGCCCTAACATTTCCTGAAAATTGCCTGCTGCATCTCATGGAGTGATCAGACTCCAATGTGATCCTTTTGGCAAGGCCCCAGGTGATGGTGTGTTCTTCCATTGGAGTATATAATGTCTGCTTTTCTGTTTTATAGTCAGATCCACGCTCTAAAGCATATTGCTATGGATGCTTTCAGGCTATCTGCAGTCACTATGTTTTTTTTTTTTTAACCCGCTGGATAAATCTGTCCCCAAAGGCAAGCTCTTCACAGGCACCAGGGATTCTACTACTGTGGCCTGCAGAGATAACATGGCAGCTCCTCAGAGGTCCCGCCTGAGGCTTTCCACACTCCAAAGTCTACAGCGGGATTGGGTGCTGCCTTCTTGTTGAGAGTCATCCCTCTCTCCTCCTCCTTCCAGCCACCCAGTACAACTGACAGATGGAATTTCACTTAGTTTTCTGAAGGGACCAGGCTCCCCCTTTCCTCTGGGCCTTGGCGCAGCTGTCCCCGCAACCAGAAACACTCTTCCTGACTACCTCTTCTGACTCAGCACTACTAACCCATCAGGTCCTAGCAAATCCGTCCCTTCAACACCATCCCACGACACACACAGGATTGGAACGGGTACCTTTTATGTACTCCTGCAGCTCTGAGACTAGCCCAGTTAGTCACTAGATTACACTAGTTTATTTCCCCCACTACTGTCTTGAGAACAGAGACCCTGGCACAGGGTCTAGCACATGGTAGGAATTCAATAAGTATCAGTAGGGGGTTGGAGATGTAGCTCAGGGATAGAGCCCTTGCCTAGCAGGCACCAGGCCCCTGGGTTCTATGCCCATCACTGCAAAATGAATAAGTGAATGAATGAATATATAAAGAAATAAGTAAAAAATATCGGTTGAACACATGCAGGAATGAGTGCATAAATTAGACTTTACAAATCCCAAGGAGGCAAATCGGGGCTTAGACCGTGAGGGCTCTTCTAAGATGATCCACCAAGTATTAAAGCAGTGGTGTGGGGGAAGCAAAAGGAATTTCCATCTAGGAAAAGGCATCTCACTTCTTGAAAAGTCACAGAACCCTTTCTTCAGACGATCTTACTAGTAGCCCTAAAATACAAGGCAGGAGAAAGAGGAGTTCTAGTTTCTGCATCAGGGGCAGAAGCCTAGGCCCTGGGACTTCCTTATGCTAAGCACTAAGGTTCCTCTGAACAGTGGCCCTGATGGCTGACAGAGATGTCTACAGAAGCCATCTTTCTGCACATCGCCCTCCAAGGTCTTTGCCTTTCTGAAACAGTGCAGACCTGGAGCCTGGCAGAGCTAAGCTGGTATGGGACATGCAGGGCAGCAGGCCTGCCTTGCAGGGACCGGAGCCAAGGGCTTAGTCTCAGAATTGGATTATTAGAGTGAATTTGGAGCTCCCGGCTCAGGGACATGGGGATTACCCAGGCCTCTGGCTGGGGCCCACAGTCCTTCCCACATTCGCCGCCAGATCTGAGAACAGGTGTCCTCCCTCTGCTGCAGCACAGCAGACAGGGGATGCTCCATCTCCACCCAGCCAGCTCCAGCCTGAAGCCTGCAGCCTGCAGCCTGCCCCACCTGCCTCCCACGTGTCTTCAATGTACAGCAGTTTTTCAGACTGTGATCCATGGACTGGCAGCATCTGCGGCAGCATCTGCAGTCTCTGGGAATTTGTTAGAGATGCACATTCATGGAGCCCATCCCAAACAAAATCAGAACCACTGCAGGATGGGGCGTTGGGAGGGGCATGGGGGCATGGTATAGGCAGATCTATGGCTTAACAAATCCTCCAGGTGATTCTTATGCATATTAAAGTACAAAATCAATGGCTCAGAGTACACCTGCTGCCAGGCTCTATCTCAAGTATGTGTCAAGCCTGCCAAACCCACAAATTTATTTCGATTACTTTAACCTTTCATTTGTAGAAATTCATTACAAATGATTAGAATGGATCTATTCCCTATCACCACATTGCACAAGTCCACCGCAGTCTGAGAGTGGCAGCTCCCAGAAATTCACAATGCAGGTCCTCTGGAGTGCTCACCCGGTACTGACCCCATCCTTTATTATCCCCACATTACATATAAGGAAACTGAGGTCCAAAGAGGAGACCTAAGTGGCCCAAAGTCACATCACAAGCAAACTCGGGGCCTAACCACTAGACTTCCTGCTTCCTATCTCAGTGGAGAGGATGGCAGCTGTTTCAACATCTGTCTCCTCACACAGGCTAGGATTTCCTTCAGGGCAAAGCCCTTGTTGTCGCTTCCTCAGGAAAGCCCTCCCTGACCTCCTTAGAGTAGGCCAGGACCCCTGTACACCCCGCTGAAGGGCCTGTATGCTTCCTTCCACCCACATCTCCATTCATATCGTGTCTGGGTATGTTTACGTCATGTCTACTTCCCTGACCAGCACGAAAGCTCCAGGAAGTCAGGAAATGGTACACCGGGCAGCCGCATACCCAGCTAAATGACCACATTCCTCAGTTTCCCCTATTAGGGAGAGGTACTAGGTTTTAACCTATGGGATGGGGACAGAAGTCACCGGGTATATACTTGTTACTGAATAAATGCATGTTGAACGCAGGAAAGTTCAGCCAGTTCCATGCAAGTGGCGCGCAGGAAATTTGTGCATCATCTAATGAGGACCAAGAACTAAAGACCACCTGGGCCATCTGTCTCTTGGAAATATTTTTATTGGTTCTGAGATCACAGGGCTAGGCGAGCTGGGATGGGCATAGAGCGAAGGAGGGCGGCGACAGGCTTTGCCCCGGGGCAGACATGCTGTGTGGGGTCTGCTGGCGGGCTCCCTGGCCCACCCAGCCAGCAGCGGCTGGGTACATGGCACTTGGCGCCTGGCGTGACCTCTGCCGGCTTGGCACTGTGGCCTCCTCGTCGTCGGCGGGCGCCCCCTTTTCCAGTTGCAGGAGTTGTGAGTCTTTCACAGTGCGGAGGGGTGGGGGTCCGGGGTGGGCACCTCCCCGGGGTGCAGGCAGGCCCCATCCGCCAGTACATCCTGGGCTCTCGGCGGCTACGGCGGGGGCGGGGCGAGGCGAGCTCTGGCTCCTCTTCTCCCCTCCCCGCCTGTGGGAGCTTGGCAGTCCTGGAGGGGCCCTTGCGGCCTCAGCGGGACATCATCCGGACAAACTCTGCAAAGGGGCAGGAACAGACAGGGAGACAGCGACAGTCAGGGCGCGGCCCAGGAGGCTGCCTCCACGCCCCTCTTCCCATCACACTGCCCTGACTCTGCGCTGATCCCCCACATCCACTCTGCCCCCTCCAAACGACGTCCTGCACAGCAACCAGGGTGAGCCTCTAATCTGCACACGTGACCCCTGATTAAACCTCTATGGTTCCACAGAGGTGATGTCCAGTGTCCTGCCGCAGCCCCAGGGCCCTCCCTGAGCTGGCCTGGCTGCTGACATCTCCCGTCCCATTGCTCCCCTTCTCCTCCAGTCTCCAAGCTCCAACCCCACCTGCCCATCAGAACGCAGATGGCTCTCGCTTACTACTGTATGCTCTCTCCCCCTGCCCCTCCCTTTCTCCTGTCCCCCACCTCTCAGTTTCCTACAACCTGTCCCCAAGCCTTTCTTTTCTTTCCTATACGTAATTTTTCAGACTAGTTTTAGGTTTATAGCAAAATTGATTGGAAAGTACAGAAATTCCCCTTCTAACCTCTGTTCCACTCATGCATAGCTTCCTCTACCATCAACATGTCCCATGGGAATAGGACATTTCAACAGATGAACCCACTTTGATACCTCCTTATCACCCAACATCCATAGCTGACATCCCCGATTTGTTCTTGGTGTGGCACATTCTTTGGGTTTGGATACACATACAATGACAAGTATCTATTATTATGGCATCTGGAGTAGTTTCACTGCCCAACCCCGGGCAACCGGTGATCTTTTTACTGTCTATGGAGACAGTTTGGCCTTTTCCAGTAGATCATATAGCCCGGAATCATACAGTACATATGTAGCCTTTTCAGATTGGCTTCTTTCACATAGTAATATGCATTTAAGGTCCATCTATGTTTTTCTGTGGCTTGATAGCTCATTCCTTTTTAGTGATGAAAAAATATTCCATCTTCTGGATTACCACAGTTTATTTATCCATTCACCTATTGAGGGACACCTTGGTTGCTTCCAAGATTTGGCAGTTATGAACAAACCTACTACAAACACTGGTGTGCAGGTTTCCATGTGGACAGAAGTGTCAATTCATTACGATCAATATCTTTCTCTTTCATCGGGTGGCTTCTACCCATCTTTCAGGTCTCCATTCATTTATAACCTCCTTCCCTAATCCCTCCCCCTGGCTTGGCATAGGGGTCCCCTCTGTGCCTGCTCTGCTTCCTTCAACATAGCACACACTACACTGCTTTTCTGTTTTTCTGCTTCCAAAGGCAGTGACCAGGTCTCAGTCCACGGCAGGTGAACAACACATCTTGACAGAACGAATGGGCAATGCCAGGCTCTTGAGGATGGGCCGTCATCTGCAATGGGTGCTACCTAGACACAGGGCAACCTGAGATTTTCAGAGCTGATGCAAGCAAACCTTCAATCCATCTGTGCACACTCTCACCTCCCTTGAAAGCCAACTACTCCCCAGAGAAGACCTCCCAAGACTTTGTGTCCTGGACACATACACTGACACATGCTTATCCTGTCTTTCTGCTCAGCATGCAAGGTCCTGAGTACAGGGTCATGTTACTTTTCTCTCCCACATGGCTTTGTGCTTGGAAAGGTATCTTGTGTGGGAGTACATAGTAGTTGGGATTCCAGGCCTGGGTTTGTGCCCCAGCTCTGCCTCCTAATAGTTAGCCAATTCTTGAGCAAGTTATTTACTTCTCTGAGCCTCAGTTTCCTCGTGTGAGGAAATAATAGTGAGATGTATAGAGTCGTTTCAAGAATTAAATGAGATAATATATATAAAGCTACTTAGTATGACTGGCACATGATAAGTGTACATAAGTGATAACTATTATTACTATTGATTCCTTTAAAAACTGTTCCCTGAACATTAGGTATGTGTCAAGTGCTGAGTTATGTAGGAAATGCAGAGATCAAGAAAACAGGGTTCCTTTTCTTTCAAGTTTCAGAGTCAAGTAGGGTGATGACTATAAGCAGCAGTTGGGGGACAGTGTGAGGAATGGGGGTGAACCTGAAGTGCTATAAAAGCCCAGAAAAGAGAAAGTTCAGTCTGAAGGACAGGAAAGAAGTACTGGAGGAAGTGGCCTCACTTCTGGGCCTTGAAAGGAGAATAAAATTTAGCCCGAGTGGAGAACAGAAAAAAAGGCATCCTAGCAAAAAGAACAAGAGGGCCTCGTAGGTTCATGGACCATGAGTATTTTGGAGGAGATGAGTGAAGGCATGGTAGAAAGTGAACTACGGTCAGATATCACAGGACTGAGGTCAGATTGAGGAATGTGGTGTTGAGAAAGTAACCACCATGCGGGCACAATGGTGCACGCCTGTAATCCTAGCGGCTGAGGAGGCTGAGGCAGGAAGATCATGAGTTCAAAGCCAGCCTCGGCAAAAGTGAGGTGCTAAGCAACTCAGTGAGACCCTGTTTCTAAATAAAATACAAAATAGGGCTGGGGATGGGGCTCAGTGGTCGAGTGCCCCTGAGTTCAATACCCAGCACCAAAAAGAAAGAAAGAAAGGAACCACCATGGATGGATGCATGAGATGGGCAGATGGATAGAGATGGATGGAGGCACCCAGACACAGGGACTCAGAGATGGGTGGATGGATGAATAGATGGAGATAGGTGGGTAAATGACTGAACAGACAGATGGAGAGATCAATGCAATATGAATAGAAGTCCAGGCAGATGCATAGAGATATATGAATGTAGGAGCAGAAGAACAGAAGTGGGAGAAATGAATGAGCATTTAGATACTTAATGAATGCAAGGTGAAGGTAAAGGTATAGAAGAATTAATAGAAGCATGAATGGAGAGGTAAATGTGTGGGTAAATGGCTGTATGGATGATTATTTAGAGGTGACTTATGGATACCTAGGCATCTAGACAGATGAAGAGATGAATGTAGGAAATGATAGAGATAAATATGGAGAGATGAAGAGGTGAAGGGACAGGTAGATGGATGAATGATGGATAGATGGATGCAGTAAGGATGGGAGTGGTCTAGAGGGGCAACTGGACAGTGGGATGAGAGAATGGAAGGACAGGATGATAGAAAGTTGGGCTGGATGGCTGCTTGTATGGTGGATACACAGTTGGAGGACTCTGTGGCCGGCCACGGCTGGCTGGCTTCTCTCCTGTGTTCAAGTGCCACCTACCTTCAAAGTCCACTCGTCCATCCCCATTGAGGTCCACATCTCGGATAATTTCCTCTATGTCTCGGTGTCCCACCTGATGACCCAGGAGCTTCCTCATGGCCTCTCGCAACTCACTGGTGCTTATCTCCCCGTCACCGTTGGTGTCAAACTAGAGAGGGCAGAAGGAGGGAGACGGAGCAGCAGGTCCCAAGGCCATGCTCCTTCTTCAGACCCAGTGTCCCCCCTTCCCTGGAGTCACTCTTCTGTCCAAGTTCCACACTGGTCTGAAACCCGGGTCCCAGCCTTCTTCTCTCTTTTTTCTTTCTTTGTTTTGTTTTGTGTTTTGTTCCGAGGTACTAGGGATTGAGCCCAGGGCACTGTACCTCTGAGCTACACTCTCAGCCCTTTTTATTTTTTTAATTTTGAGACAGGGTCCTCCTGCCTCAGCCTCCTGAGTTGCTAGGATTACAGGCGTGTGCCACTGCGCCTGGCTCCCAATCTTCTTTTCAAGCAGCCATCCTGGGATCCCGGCTCTAACGGCCTGTCATGGCCTGTCACTCACCTCTCGAAAGGCATCTCTCAGTTCCTTTACTCCAATCATGTCGGCCGTCTCTGCCAGGAGTTTAGGCCCCATTAGCTCCACGAAGTCATCAAAATCCACATGGCCACCCACTGGAGCAAGAGGAAAGGGGCCAGGTCACCCTCAAGCCACACATTGCCCATCTCCAACTTGGAAGGAGAGCACTGCCAACCCCTCGTTGGTTCTGCCTGTGTCTGGCTCCAGGTGACAAGCAAAGGCCAAACAAGGACAGAGAGGTGACCACAGACAGGTGGTTTGTCAAGGAATGGCTCGGGGGAGTGGCCAGAGGTCGAATAAGGGAGCCAATCAGGAAGCAGATAGAGGTAGATATGGAAGAGAGAACGAGGTATTGGCTCAGAGTCAGGCAAAGCATTTCAAAAATGGAAAGAGTGGGACACTCATAGAAAGACGGAGAGAAACAAAAGTTATGTGTGCCCAAGCCTTGCCCTTGTTGTGCCAATGCAGACTCAACTTCCAAGTGGATACGTAGAAGGACCAGAGGACTGGTACCCACTGCCTGCTCACAACAGCTCTCAACAAAGACCCACAGGAGTAGGGGATAAATACCCAGCTGGAGAGGTAGGGAGGGATGCGTGGGGACACTCTTAGGTAGCCATTCTTTATTATCCCCAACAGGCTGAGCCCAGCCCCTCCGTGGTAGCTGGCACGAGAGTCAGCCCTGGGTGGGTTCCTTCCCTACACTACCTCACTTCCTCACTGCCTACCAATCCTTTCCTTCACCTACCAAATACACCCCTTGCACTCAGATCACTATCTCAGAAGAACCCTGACTAAGACAGAGAAAAACAACCATAGCATTCCTCTGATCATTTCTTGCTGTAAGCCAGGTATTAGACTGTTTTGCATATATTCCCTAATTTACTTCTTCAGCTCCACTCCCCTGTTACACTCTTATTTTATAGATGAGGAAACTGAGGCTCAGAGAGGGTAGGTGCTTTGTACCAGGTCACACAGCTGGAAAAAAAGCGGATGTAGCCTTTGAACCCAGGCCTGTCTGATGAGAAGGGATGGAGGTGCCGTGCGGAGGGACTCACGGTTCATGTTGATCTGCTGGGATAGCTCAATGAGCTCCATCTCGGTGGGCATGTAGCCCATGGTGCGCATACAGTTGCCCAGGTCCCGACAGTTGATGTAGCCGTCCTTGTCCTTGTCAAATTCTCGGAAGGCCTCTCGTAGCTCTGGGGAAAGGAACAAAGGCAGGGGGGTAGGACCCACAGAGCCTTGGGGAACAAAGTCAGCCTCTAGGAACAGGGCCCACCAGATAGATGGGCCCTGGGGTCCCCCTGGACTCTGGGCTTCTCTCAGGCTCCTTCCTCCAATGGCTGGGTCCCCAGCAGATGCCCTGCTCTGTAGCAGGCCCTGTTCCCAGGAGGCCAGGAGGCCCTGACTCTCTTCCCACCATCTCCCTCCCATACCCTCCTGGAGGCTGAGCAGCCCTTTCCCCCGAGGTCCAAGTTTTACCTTCGATCTCCTCTGGTCGCAGTGATCTGTCCTGAAACAAAAGAGCAAGTCCTGTTAGCTGCAGCAGGGGACCTGGGAGTTATAAGATGCCCATCCAGAGGGGGCCCTCCAAGGGGCAGCTGGCTCTGGGTGGAAGGTGATAGGAATGGCGCAGAGGTTTGTCTGGACCATGTCCTTGGAGCCCCCACAATGAGCCACAGACACAGAAGCCCCTGGGCCTCTCAGAGAAGCCCAAGGATCCACCGAACCCTGAGCCTGGGCACAGAACCGCTGAGGTCCTTATTCCAGATACAAGAGTAGGTCAGGAACAGAGCTGGCGCAGAGGCAAATACCTGTAAATAAAGCAGGGCCAGGGGAGGTCACCGGAGAGAGGAGAGCAACACCCAGTGACACTAGGGAAGGGGGCAGAATCCCACAAGGCAATCAGAAGCAGGGCTGCAAGGCAAGAGGAAGCAGGGACCATACAGGGAGCCCCAGAGGGCGGAGGAGGAGCCAGGGGAAGGGGAGGCAGAATTGGGACTATGCCCTGCTGCCCCAAATTTGCCCCCATCCTTACACTTGCCCTGTTACAGGACACAGTATAGGATCCTGCCGGCCACCAGTGCCTCTGACGGCTGCCAGGGTCCAAAGCACACATCTCCAGTCTCCAGCAGGGCCCAGGTCTCCTTGGGGAGTCAAGGAAACCCGGGTCCAGGCGTCAGAACAGATGGCAGAGAAGTCTCCAAAGAGCAGGCCCCAGAGGAGGCACGGGGCAGGCGCTGGATGGTGAGGTCTGCCCAGGAGGGAGACAGACTGGCACATAATGGATATGGGTGCCCAGGTGGGCCTGGTTAGGAGACTCCCACCCGCCCCCCCAGCACTCTAGCTCTCTGCCTTTGGGCAGGGAGAACATGAGGCAGGCTGACCTGAGGAGGCTCATGACAGGGTGGGCACCGTGTCACGAACCCAGGCACATAGGCAGGCCACAGTGAGCAGGGGGCATCTCGGCTGCGCACATAGGCCATCCCAGCCAGCAGAGCCAGGGTGGGTGGAGACTGTGGCTGCCACCCACTCCATACTGGCTCCAGGGTGAGGGACAGGCAGTAGGAAGCCTGAGGCTCCTGGTGAAGGGGGTGCTGGTGATGAGAGTGTAGAGGAGCTGGGAACCGGCAGCCTGGGGGCAGCCAGAGTCTCCAGGCAGGAGGAGTCGCCTAAAGGGATGTCGGTCTCTGGGTGACGGTCCTGTGGACTCACCTACAAGGCTTGTCAGCGTGCAAGGTGCGAGGGTATGTCGACTTTGTCCCTAGACAGACCCACAGATATTTTTGGGTTTACAAATTGTTTTTTTCATTTGTACAAATGAAAGTGAGTACAGACATCCTTTGGTCTCAGTGGGGCATTGATTCCAGGAACCCCCGTAGATACCTCAATCCAAGGATGCTCAAGTCCCTTATATAAAAAGACATAGCATTGGGGCTGGGGTTGTGACTCAGAGGTAGAGCGCTTGCCTTAGGGGCTGGGGTTGTGACTCAGAGGTAGAGCGCTTGCGTTAGGCACTGGGTTCAATCCTCAGCACCACATAAAAATAAATAAAAAATAAAGGTATTGTGTCCAACTACAACTAAAAAAAAAATTAAAAATATATAAAAAAGATAATGTGTCCACCTATAACCAAAAAATAAATATTTTTTAAAAAAGATGTAGTATTTGGGGGCTGGGGTTGTGGCTCAGGGGTACTGTGCTTGACTAGCATGTCCAAGGCCCTGGGTTCGATCCTCAGCACCACATAAAAACAAATGGAGGTACTGTGTCCATCTATAACTAAAAAATAAATATTAAAAAAGATGTAGTATTTGCACATAGCCCATGCACATCTTCCTTTTTCTTGATATTTATTATTTAGTTTTAGGTGGGCACAATATCTTTATGTTATTTTTTTTATGTGGTGCCGAGAATTGAACCCAGTGCCTCACACATGCTAGGCAAGCGTGCTACCACTTGAGCCACATCCCCAGCCCCCTTCCCACATCTTTTAAATCATCTCTAGATGACTTGTAATACCTAATTCAATGTAAGTGCTATGTAAATAGTTACACTGTCCATATTCAGTACAGATGCAACTGGGGGGGAGTACCAGGGATTGAACCCAAGGGCACTTAACCACTGAGCCACGTCCCCAGCCCTATTTTTATATTTTATTTAGAGACAGGGTCTTGCTGAGTTATTTAGGGCCTCACTAAGTTGCTGAGGCTGGCTTTGAACTTGCAATCCTCCTGCCTCAGCCTCCCAAGCTGCTGGGATTATAGGTGTGCATCACCACACCCAGACAGATACAATTTTTTTAAAATATGTTTTTAGTTGCAGATGGACATAATACCTTTATTTTATTTTTACGTAGTGCTGAGGATTGAACCCAGTACCTTCCACATGCAAGGCAAGTACTCTACCACTGAGCTACAACCCCAGCCCCATATACAATTTTTGAAAAATATCTTTGATCTGCATTTAGCGGAATCAACTCTTCCACTGAGATGGAACCCATAGAAACAGAGGGCCGACTTAAGTGTGCATATACACCTGCAAAAGTGTACTCACTGGGACCAGTTATTGAGCTATAAAAGGAATCCTTCCCACCCATCATGTTTCAAACAACTAGCCACTTCTCCAGGGCCCCACTCTGCAGGACTCGGGGTAGATGGTTGCTGCTGGCCCCCACTGCAGCCCCTTCTATACCTCTTGTATGCCTAGAACTCAAGGAGCAGCAAACCCAGTACCCCTTCAAAGTGTGCCTGCAGCAGAGCCCTGGTGACTGGTCCATGGCTCACACACTGTTCCTCATGCCGAGCAGTGAAGGCATGTGTGCTGTGTTCTGGAGTGGAGCTGCGGATGCCCACCCATATGGGGGGGAACTACATGCACCAACGCAGGGGGCCAGGTAGAAGAAAGCACGTATCTGCTCATTTCTGTCCAGTTTATATAGTTAGGGGAGAAGAGCTTGGACCCTAAAGTCAGACTGACCTGAGTACAGAGCCCAGATCTGCTACTTCCTAACTGTGGGACCTTGAGCAGGTCAATTCCACTCTCTGAGCCACAGTCTCCCCATCTGTGTTATAGGTTAATATCAGTCCTTACCTCCCAGGGCCTTTATGAACATTGTATGAGACAAGACAAGGACAGTATTCAGCATGTAGTATTCAATAAATGCAACTTACAAATGCTTGTATCTGAAACATCTTCTTTTCCTTACTCCTGTGACTATTCATAGGATGCTGTCAAGTAGAGTAGCCACTAGTTGCATGCAGCTATTTCAATTTTACTTACAATGAAATAAGATAGATAATTCAGTTCCTTCATTGCACCAGCCACATTTCAAGTGGTCAAGAGCCACATGCTACTAGCAGCTACTATATTGAGCAGCAATACATTTTAGACTATTCCCATCACCATAGAAAATTCTACTGGATGAAGCTGTATATACAGAACTGTTAAAAGCACAGGAGGCTCTTAGGTCACACTACCTGATTGTCATACTACCACCTATGAGCTGTTACCTCAGCATGTTACCTCTCTGACTCAGTCTTCTCATCTGTGAAATGGGGGTGATAAAAGCACCTACCTCTCGGAGTTGCTGAGGCTTAAAGGAGGGAATCCATTAACACACTTAACACAGGTCCTGGTACATCCGAAGTGCTCCAAAGAACTGTATCTGCTATCATTACTTTTTTTTTTTTTCCATTTTTTTGGTACTATGGATTGAACCCAGAGGCACTTAACTATGAGCCACATCCCAGCCCCTTTTTGTATTTTATAATCTTGCTGAGTCGCTTAGGGCCTCATTAAGTTGCTGAGGCTGGCTTTGAACTCATGATCTTCCTACCTCAGCCTCCCAAGCCGCTGGGATTCCAGGAGTGCGCCTCCATGCCCAGCTTACCATTACTTCTTGCTGGTAGAAATGGACAAGTCACTTTGTAGCCACAAGTGGGAAACTGGAAGTCAGACTGACAAGCTGGGGGACTATCCACTGGAGGACAGGGGCAGCTAGCTGGGTACAGAATCCCTCTTCCTCCCAGCACCTCCTATGCCCTGGGAAGCCAAGTTCATCGAGCTCCACTGGGCCAACTTACGTACAGGCTGCCTGTTCTCGGCGAAACCCTTGCGCAGAAAAATACAAGCAGGGCCCAGCAGGTTGTGCATGACGGCGCAGTTTTGGGCCAGCATCAGGAGCGGTCCGGGGAGCTCATCACTGGCTGCCAGCCCCTCCTCGCTTGTCTGCACCACCATGTAGCTGGTCTTCTCCTCCTGGCGCATCTTCAGCCAGAACCAAGTAAATACAAAAGAGAGGCAGGGTATCACTTCCTTGCCCACTTAGCTCTTCCGGCCCCAGCTTGGCTCCTGGTCCTAGAGGGACATCTCCTTCCGAGAAGATCCTCCAGAGTCAAGTGGTAGGGTTCAGAGGGCCTCAGGGTCATGTCTCAAATAGATGGAGACGCCAATGGTTCAATAGATGGAGACGCCAATCCTTGACTGACACAGTTGTCCAGGGACAGCTGGGTGTGATGCTTGCTGTGTGGCCCATGCACACGCACACGTGCACACACATGCACACACACATCTATACACAGAATCACATGCTCATGCTCATATGCACACAGAAGCTCAGGCTGAGAAGCAATCAGAGGACAGTTTCTGTCCTGATCAATGGGAAGTGTTCTCTTTGAGCGTAATGGAACAATGTCCTTTCTCCAAATGCTTCCAATGGCCAAGCTCAATACTCAAGCTATGTCATGTCTCCCAGCTTACTGATGGGCTCTGATCCTATCCCAGCCAGATCCCCGCTGAAAGGCTGGGGGGTGCCATCAGAGTCGACAACATGGACAACAGTTTCCTTTAGTCTGCTGGACTAGAGGCTGCAAATGTAGGTGCCATCACTGCCGTTAATGAAGCAGGCAGGGATCAAGAGGTGGAGATGGGCGGGGTGCAAAATGGATGCTACGCGCCCCCTTTAAATGGGCAGTCCCACCTAACTCCAGCCACTCTCTTGATTTAAAGCAC